TGTTCTGAATGTAAAAATTCAGTCACACTAGACCAGGTTTTGAACACTGCTCTTTAGATTGTTATACTACCACTCAAATTGACGGAACTATCTGGTCAACTGATTTTCCTGGCCCAAATGTGCTACAGTTAAATCCAAAATGAAATGAAGGGGAGGTTACTCTAAACACCAATGCATAGTAGGGACATGTACAGGGATCCCTAAGAGAGTAATAATGATCATTGCTGTTGTGATGTCTTCATCAGAACGTTGGGAGATAACTCGCTGATACTGAATGTTGGCTGTTCCATTTATTGTGAAAATAAACTTTGATTTTGAAGAACAAATATGTCATTTGATTATCAATTTATTGTTAGAATTGATTTAAAAATTGAGATATAAATTTACCAGGGTTACAAATAGACTGCATTCTGTTCAGTGTTATAGTGTTATAATTCTAAACAAGGACATAGATATCTCTCTCATGCTGAAGTTATTTATTCTATTTGTGTGCAATTCTGTTCAGGATTAAAGGACTATGTTGTACACCTCCGAACAATGTAGCTAATGCTGAAATGTAATAGCAAAGCTTATCAATCACCCATTGTTATTCTTGGATTCTGTTTTTGAAAGCTGAAATCCATACAGATTTAATCAATTTTTGCCGTCTGGGTTTTTCTATGTTTTTTTAAAAGTCAGCATGAGATTTTTCTGTGAGAGGATGTACTCTTAGAGCTGAGATCAACAGGTTGTGTATCAGTGTCGCTGGCAGCTGTTGGTGAGTTGGTGACACTGGAGTCTGCTAAAAGGGCGCTAATTGGACACCGGTGAGGGTGAAGATACTGACGTGTGACATGTGCCTACCATTGTCGCAGGCAACATGGATTTGTCACATGGCTTTCTGTAGCCAGGCAGCCTTGGCTGTATCACATATATAGAAGTGGAATCTGGCACTGTCAGTGAGCTTTGTTATGTACAGGAGGTGTGGGTCTGTTACCGGTAATCTCTGCTGTAGATTATTGATAGATTGAGGTGGATTGTCCTTGGTAGATTTAATGGAATATTGTCATGTAGGGTACAGACTTATATGTTGAACTGGTAGGGGTGGGTGTCATTTGGACATGGATCAACTGCGTACAGATTTGAAGGATGCCGGCATTTTGATGGACTTGCAGGATACAACACTGAGTAGAGATATAAGTATGTGGATTAGCGGTGTGTGGATTGAAGGAACAAAAGCTACAGATATGATAACAGCATTGTGTGGATTGGAAGGAAGATAAAAGGTATTGGGAAAACATTCTACCAAGGAGGGAATCTACCAGCAATGTTCAAACATGAGAAGTGACAACACACATGGTCATATATTGATGTAAATCGACTGTGTATGGATTTGAAGGAAGTTTATATATATATCTGTATATATGAAGAACTAAGAACATACTTTATGTATAAATATGTATAATGACAGAATATCAATTTTCTGGAATGTAGTTATGAGCATGCAGGTATTTTTTTTACATACCTGAAAATATCAAATACTGGTTAAAGGATATATGTGTTTTGTATCAACTGCCTCACATCTTATTAACAATTGGATTTGAATATACTTTGTACACATCTATAGACATGTAAATTAATACAAAATATTAAGCCTAAGTTAGATATGGATCAACTTTTTATTGGACATGTTGTCATGGAATTGGGTCAGATTGGATGGAAATGAGATCAATGACATTTCAACAGGAGGCAGATGTTCGTCACTGTGTTTATGACATACATTGGTACCATCACAGAACGATTGGATTTAGCATGGAAGGATAGGACTTGAATCAAGTACAGTGTATTAACAGACAGCTGTAACGGGATTGGTGAACTGTATGGACTGAAACTTATTGCGGTTGGGAAGAATATGCTCAGTGTTCCCATGAAAAATAGAACTTTAGAAAAGAAGTACATGCTACAAGGTGTTAACTGTCTTTAAAATTCAAATAAAATCAAAAATTAGGGAAATGGTTTTAATTTGTTCTCACTGAAGTAGATCCAGGTTCAGCCGTCTGTGTTGAGGACCAAGAACAGTTGGATGTATACCAGAATCTATAAGGCTTGAGTGATTTGCTATCTTATGTTTCAAAAATCTGATATAATATTGGGGATACATATGTAATGTGTATATGTTTGTGTCAATACTTGGGTAATAAACGCCATTGTATAACAGTTGATAATGCCAAGTGATCATAAGACAAAATAGGGACTGTGACTGATGTGTGTTCTGATTGGATGAATGTGATCAAATGTTTTTGATTGGATGTTTACAGCCTTAAGAAGGCTTCTGATTGGTTGATTTCTGTGACTTATCACCAAAGTGTTTCCTGTTGGACAATCATGTAAATAGGTGTTTTCCAAAATGCTCAAATTAGACCTTTTTTGTGTAATTTAGTTAAATACAATTCAGCATTGAAATTAGATTGAAAAATTGGTCGAAAGACTTAGGATTTCATTTGATAGTTGAAGTCATTCAGTTGGAATGCCCATTCAGTTGGAATGCCCAATTGTTAAATTGGAAACTCGACTTGAAATTGTTAATAATATTAATGATATAATATCAGTGTGTCAGTATCCCATTTAATTATTCACAATTAAGACCTCAGTGGCTTTAATGGTCCTAAACAAGGATCTTGTGATAAGATTATATTTTAAGAATTATAGTTTTGATAAAAAAAATCAAAGTGGTGCTATATATATTTTATATTTAAATTAGAAACTTATTTTTCAGAGGCAAAGTTAAATTTTTAAATGAAATTTCAATTTTTTAATGATTTAATAATTTTATGAAAAATACACAATACTTATATGAAGTTATCCCATTTCTTAGTGGTTGTATGTTAAATATTTTTTCTTTGTATCTGTTACCTTTATTGATAAAAAAATATCAGTTTTTGTGAATGTTAATGTTGTATAAGAAATAAAAAAAATAGTTCTTATAAGGCATGACTGTTTGATAGACAATGAAATAATTGTTTGGAACAATGTAGTGATTTTTAAAGATATTTTTTAGGAATTTTTGTAAAAAATTTGTAATCAATGTTTACATTACTTGTAAATGAGATTTAATTTAGTTCTTTGTAAAAGAATTCAGTACATATTTCATGTACTAAACAAATTGTTCTATGTAAGTTTTGGCGGATGTTTTTCTGAAGAAAGTTAACGACATTTGATTTTACAACGAACAGAATTGTTGATTGGTGAGGGTGACCTTAATTTATCAGTGTAAAACACTTTTGTGAAAATGTTTCGAGCATTCAGTAATCTTGGGACGGTGAGTTTACAGGGCAATATTGTTAGCCCTGCTCCAAGGATTTCATCTTCTACTGTACCAACAAGTACAAACAGTCAGGCTTTTCGTACTACACACCATGGACAGCCTCATGTCGGCATGGGAATGTACCCGACCCCCGCCAACAGTATCCAAGGTCTAGTGAACCCTGGAAATGGGGTTGTAGTCATCGGACCGCGACTGGATGTTCCCAAACCTCTGGTAAATACAAAGACTCCGCCCAATGCGTTCATGTCTTCGTCTTCAAATTCCCGAAGTCCGTCCGTGTTTTCAACAGCTAATCACAGTGTCCGAAGTTCAACAACAGGGGTCATCAAAGTTCAAGGTCAAGGGTCAATGAGTGGGTCCCAACAGCACATGTTAAGATATTGGGACACACAAAATTACTCTAATTTCTGGAGAAGGTTCAGGTACTTGTCCTGATTTTAAAATCTTGATATTGTCTTTGAAATGGCTGAGATTGTTTGTGTTTGTTTGAAAGTTGTCTTTGAGATGGCTGAAATTTGTTGTTGGCTTGAAAATTGTTTCTGAGATTTCTAAAATTTATTTTATTGGTCTGAAAATCTGATATGAGTACGGATAGTCTGTGAATTCCTTTGACTGTATTCCCTGCTTGATGTGTTGTTTTTATTTGTTTGATATCAACCAACTGGCCTGAATATTGTCTTGATTTGTATTGATGTCATTAATTCAACTGTTGTGCTATTTTTAGACAGTTTAGATTGAATATATTTATTTTAAAAAAGGACACACAAACTAGAATGGTCCTCTCCTCAAAATTGTTTCAGATAAATGTGAATATATATTATGTGAAGTTGTATTTTAGTGTGCAAGAACGAGTGCAATTCTGTGTACAAAACCAAACACCACAAGAAGTTCCCTTGGGGCAAGTGACAATATGTTTTGGCTTTGCTGGATCTGAAAGAGGGGGTGATTTAAATGTTTTACCCTCCAAGCATACGGTGCTGGACTACTCCTTGTCACGAGGTTTTGATAATTCATAAAATACTGAATGTATTGCGATAAATATCACATATATCATGATATATTGCAATATGAAAATCCTTGCAATACCCAAACCTTGTAATTGACTGTTATTCTAATTTTTCCAGATTGTTAAGGGCTCAGGGTGTTTATATATATATATAATTATTGCATGTAGGTGGTATATAGTATATGAATGGCTTCATGTAAAAGTGGTTATACATGTACTGTGTTTATTTACCCTTTCACCACTGTAGACAATAATGGACTCATCCGGATCAATGCATGGTAGAGTCTACTAAAGTTACATAGAGGTGAAAGGGTTAAGGTAGAGTGTAGTTCCATGAAGTATTTACGTGGAATGAAATGACATTGTTTGAACTACGGCAGACCCTTAGACAATCACCAAGTTGTCTATGAAGTTATTTCCTAGAATGTGTATGATTCAATGATTACTAAAGTGGTGAGGGAAAATTTATTCAGAAAATTACTTTCTGATTTTATTATTACACTTATTTTTCCTTTATTTTAATGTCATACTCTGAATACATCCTGGGTATGCAAATAACAGTTTCTTGGGCAAGGTCTGGCATGTAGATATTCAGAAGTTGGATAAGAAATATATATTGCTATGGTGGGTAGGTTCTAAATTCTGAGACTGAAATTGTATTGACATTACTTTTTCTTTGTATTGAAACAGGGGGCCTCCTGGTGCACAGCATGATGTCAGCTCCCCATACAAACGGGGACGTCCCCAGAGCCCTCCCCAGGTACAGCGACCGGGGTATCCCTACGGTCAGGATCCTCAATCCCACCCCCGGTTTAGTGTCGCCCCGGGGTACTACCCACATTACCAGCAGGTAAGTTTCACGTCTATGGGGAAAAGTGTAAATTCTTGAAGGCGTAATTTTACGGTTTCTAGATTAATATTATCAGTATAGATCTCAGGCGTGTTGATCTAATAGTGTGAAGTGCCAGCCTGCAGGTAGATTTGAAAAATTCTACTAGCTAAAACTTTCTTTTCAGAGTAAATATTGAAGATTTCCTTTGTGTCCTTTTGTATCAGGCTAGTGGAATGGTACATCCCTGATATCTGTAGTGTTGTTTACTTACAAATGTCTATATTAACTCAATGTTTTGACTTATTGGATTTACGTTTTTGTAAAAATTGTGAGTGAAAAATGATCAGGTATGAGTTGAGACAGAATAATGGGTACAAGAAAAATTGATTGATATTTAAATTAGAAATTGTTTCTTGGTTTGATTAATAAATTTGAGGAGCAGCAGGAAGTAAGTTTGTTTCCTTGACCTTTTGACCTTTTGATAGACAGACAATACACTTGGAAGAACGAATATGTATGTCAATTAACCTGGTAAAATACTAGCAGCTTCCTACCAACTTTGCTAGGAAGAATTTCTCTTGAGTTAATTTCGGTAGAATGTAAGACTTAGTCTCAAAATCAGAGGTCCCTAGCGGAGGCATTGCAAAATAAGAAACTCAATTATTTAGGTTGTTGTCCCTATAATAATCAACTTTTCTTTCTGCAATTGAAAAAATTTTAAAAGATGATTCCTGATAGATAAATAGTGGCAGCTACTGATAGATAAATAGTGGCAGGTACTGATAGATAAATAGTGGCAGCTACTGATAGATAAATAGTGGCAGCTACGTGTCTTTCATTATAGTCATATTTTTCTTCCCTAGGCTGAACAATTATTGAACATTTTATGAAAAGAGAGTTTTGTGATAAATATAGATTTTGCGAGCTCAAAAATTCCTTTTGTGACTGATAATTAAAAGCAATGAAGATTATTTCTTGTTTTGAAATTTGTACTGGTCTGAGTTTTGTATTTGAGTTTTGGTTGAGATAGAAGCATATAAGGTGTATTGAGAAGATATAATGATAGACTAGGGATCTGGAGCTACCCTGGTTAGTAAGGATATGTCTTCAGAATTCTTTAATTTGAATGACTGATTTAATTTGCTCCTGTATATTTGGAATGATCTTTACGTGTACAACTTTCATTGCCTGGTATATTAAGTGTAGGGGGTTTCTTGAGAGGTCATGGTAGTGTACAAAAGCCAGTCTATAGTTTGTTTCTGAAAAGTAGAAATGTGTCCTAGTTTTGAGAGTTCATAGTTCTGCCCCTAGCCTTTGTTTGCCTGGCCTGTTGTGCATACCACTCAAGAGAATGACCTGGTTCTTCAGTGCCTGTATGGTTAGCTTTCTCTTCATAAGAGAAATATATAAAAGAGATAGTGACCAAGGGGAATACAAGGAAAGAAGGAGAAAGGGTTTGGTTCTAAAGGATGTGCATTGTTAGCTTTCTCTATATCATTAAAAGTACATGTACTATGGAAGATAAAACAGGAGAATGTATAGTCATCTTTCTTCCCCTCTTGTGATAAAGTAGTGAATGAAAAACAAGGATGTCAAACATGATTAGCTTTTCCTTCATCTTAGAAAGTGTGATTTCAGAATAAAAAATAAAAAAATGTATGGTTAGCTTTCTTAGCTTTCTCTAAGAGAAATCAAACAGCTGGCTATGAAGGGGATTCATGGTTAGCTTTCACAATGGAAAAATAATCATAGAATGAAAAGCAAAGGAATGAATAAAGGAAAATTCAGTTGTGAAGGGCAAGAATACATGAATAGGAACAAGCATTTCCTTTATGAAAAGTTAGCATAAAAATTACGGTTATAAAATTAAATATGGAAAATATCATGGTTATGAAAGTTTTGCATAAAGTTTATTCTTGAAACAGTGATTGCATTCTTAACAGTTCGGTGCCCAATATTTGGAAAAGATTGATATTATGCCGTAAAATTTCCCCAATCAAAGGAAGGTGAAGATGGTCAAAATGTCCAGCAAAATTTGGACATTATAAAGGGGCTTAGCACTTTGGTGAGGAAAAGGAAAAGAGGGAATTGCAATACAGTTAAACATTTTGAAGTCTACGAAGTGGTATCATATACACATGTATTCTCTTTATACAGGTGTTCTCTTTATACAGGTATTCTCTTTATACAGGGTTTGTCTTGATACAGTGTCTGCTACGAAATGTGAAAACTTTGTCACTGAACGTCTGCAGTGGGATGTACATATTTATAGTAATAATACATAGAGTACTAGCCAGCTCAAAGGTTGTTTTTTGAAATTCTACAGTTTGACCTATATTATCTCTGTAAAATTTGAAACTTTTTCTCTAGCCTTGACATGGAATCAATCTGTTAGCCCCAGGGTGTCAGGCTAATGGAATTTCAATCTGTTAGCCCCAGGGTGTCAGGCTAGTGGAATTTTACACCCCTGCCTGTACAGATTCGGTGCTGTATATAAAGTTGAGCTGAATGTAAAAACATGTTTGAAAAATAACATAGTTATACCTGGTACTGTTCCTTTTATAAACATGGGAGTACCATCGTGGATTGTTCTAGCTATCTACACAATGTAATAATTCCCAAATGGATAATAACTATACCATTTTTCTCAATTTGGTGGTGGTGGTGGTGTTGGTGGTGGGGGGGGGGAAGAACTTTTTTGGAAAATCATTTCTTTATCCCTGATTTGTGTTTATAATTTCAGGAAACCAAAAAATAAACTTTGTTCATTATATTTACATTAATGCCTCATAAAATGAAATTTTACCAAAACTGATAAAACAAATTATTTCCTAATTTTCCATTTTTTTCAATGCTGTCTAGGTTATTCTTTTCCTAAAAAAAAAAGATAAAAATGCTATGTGTTATATAACATAATCTTATGTCACAATTTCATCATTTAGACATATATACTGAATTTACATTAAAGGTCATTATAATTTGCTTTATATCAAATTCAGATGTTTTTATTAAATGTGTGTATAAGACAGGACATTAAGGATACTATATGAGGAAGGCAATGACCGGGGTAAGAAATGGGTTTATTGTACTGACAACAGGTCAGCTCTGACCTCAATATCACTGCTAGACATTCCTCCCCTATTCCTCTGGAGACTCCAAAATAGATATGGCTACAAGTCCTAAGGTCAAGGTCATTCAGTGTGACTGAGTTTAGTGGCTGTCTGTTTGTACACAAGTGGAGGGTTTGGACTTATATGAGTGGTAATATATGCACCAAAGGCACTTTGGCCCGTTTAAAGGAGCTTTTCTGGTCAGATACAGACCCTACAGCCCTTTATAAGGAGTTGGAGGTGATGGAATCATGATTTATTATCAAGTCAATGATTGTAGAGGACTCATTGATGTAAACAGTGTGTAGTATACTATAGTCTGTTTCAGAAAAGTTTGCTTAGTTTTTTTGTAGATTTTTAAAAATGTATATATTTTATGTTCGAAGTACAAATCATTTGGTGAATTATTTTTGTCAATATAATTTTATTAAATTTGGAAGTAAATTTTTAGTCTTGATTGTATAAAAATGAACGGTGTTAAATCTAACTTGTCCAAAAACAAGGGCTGCATTTAATAGTCATGCATGTAGCTCATGGGTCTTATATTTAATCCATGTACCTGTATCAAAATAGCCAAATTATACCCTACTTTCAAATACTTGTCCTAATATTCACACTGCAGAGAATGGTTACGATGTTCACCTATGTTAGAGTATGCAATTTTTATGTGACATATATACATGTATATTTGCCAATATGAAAATGAATAAACAATGAAGCATATTAAAAAACCCCTAAAATTTCACATGCTTTAATATGGATTTCATAGGATATCATTTAAGACAGTGTCACTATTAAACTGAATACATTTAAACACAGAGTAAAGATAGAAAATTCATGTTTTTAACTTCAATTTTGAAAAAAAAACAATAGACTGTAATCTTTTCATGTATTTCTTTACTGGGATTTGTGTTTAAAGATGTTTTAAATGAAACAACAGTATAAATTCTCTTTTAGGTGTTTTATCGTTAATCTGTATGAAAGCAGTGGATTTGTCGATACTGAAATCTAGCTGATAATAATGAAAATATGGTAGTAAGTTGTTTCAATTCAATATTATTTGTTGGTGACAATTAGAGATTTGTTGGCATTACAGGGTGACCAACAGTCACAAGACCGTTACCGGGAAGCTGAGTATTTACACATCAGGCGACGCCCATCCCTTCTGCCAGACTACCATGGAACTCATGCTGCAGGCATAGAGAGACTGGAGAGATACAGGTAGGCTTTGTAGCCACACAAGTACTGCAGGCAGCGTAGATAGGAGAGACTAGAAAGATATAAGAAGGTTTTGAGACCACGCTGCAAGCAGTGTAGACAGGAGATACTAGAGAGATATAAGAAGGTTTTGAGACCACGCTGCAGGCAGCGTAGATAGGAGAGACTAGAGAGATATGAGTAGGTTTTGAGTCCACGCTGCAGGCAGCGTAGACAGGAGATACTCTAGAGATAAAAGTAAGCTTTGAGACCCCGCTGCAGGCAGCGTAGATAGGGGATACTAGAGAGATACGGGTAGGTTTTGAGACCACGCTGCAGGCAGCGTAGATAGGAGAGACTAGAGAGATATGAGTAGGTTTTGAGACCACGCTGCAGGCAGCGTAGACAGGAGATACTAGAGAGATACAGGTAGGTTTTGAGACCACGCTGCAGGCAGCGTAGATAGGAGAGACTTGAGAGATATGAGTAGGTTTTGAGACCACGCTGCAGGCAGCGTAGATAAGAAATGTTAGAGAGAGATATATGTAGATTTTGAGACCAAGCTGCAGGCAACATAGATAGGAGAGATTAGAGAGAGATATAAGTAGGTTTTGAGACCACGCTGCAGGCAGCGTAGACAGGAGAGACTAGAGAGATATAAGTAGGTTTTGAGACCACGCTGCAGGCAGCGTAGAGAAGCAGCTGAAAAAAAATGGAAAATGGATACAGCTATGTTATTGTGGATATACAGTGTGTAAGATAATAAGGAATAAAAGAGAGAAAATTTTTAGTGCAGGGAAAGCTTACGTTGAAGTTTACGGGGCAGAGAAAAAAAATATCGAGATGGATATATTGATGTTGGTGTTTGCTTATAAGAGGTTTGAGGTACACAAAATAGGAGTTGAAAAATGTAGATCCTAGCTCATTACCACAGTACCAGGTAATATTTTAAGACAAAAAATGTCCTGTATCCTAACACAATGAAAATTCCTGTTTGAGTATATAGATTCATGTTAGAAGAAGGCTCAACCTTGCAGCTTTGTCTCTGTTCTAATTACCGTTGTATATTTAATCCTGTTGTATCTCGACACTGTTAAATGTTTATGAGAATGACAGAAATTGCTTTTAGTTAAGATTTGAGGTGCAGGGCATCTTATGCAAGATGACAAGAGGTTATTGTAGAAATGATGAACCCTCAGTAATCTGTTGTAATCTTAGGTTAGTGTTTACAAACACGGGGTAGGACTGGGTAGTGGACGATATATTTAAATGGGTCAAGTGCATGGTAGATTAGGTTAAGTTACGCTATAGCTGTATATATATTGTTTGTGTTGTTTTCCTGGGGGAGGTAGGTGGCTTACCTCAATGTGTGTACTTGTTGAATAACTTTTCACAGTCAAGAAATCGCAAAAATATTCACTTATTATGTTGAGATGATGAGGTTTCATTTTCTTTCCTTAACATCTCACGTTACAATTTTTCATATTTTTTTTTGTGCTTCTGAATTATGAAGTTATTCTGCCTTGTGATTTCCTTTCAACTACAATAAAGTTTAAATGCAATGTGATGTATGTTGAATTTTCGCATTCGCGCTTCACAGATGCATTACAATTGTTTCCTGGGAAGAGATAAACTGTCTTTATCTACCACTTGGCAAAGCCTTATGCTAAATCCTTGGGTTGAAATTGTTACTTCAAACAGGGGTGATAGATTCTTTCACAAATAATGTTTTTTTACATTTCTGGAATAATTTTAGGAAAAAAAGTAGATTTATGGCAATTTGTTACAATGTTTTAATAGACTTATGTCACAAGTGTGCTTTAATCAGTGTATTTACAAAAAGATGAATTCCTGAATGTTACAAGGGTATATATATATATAAATATATTTATAGATATATTTATAGATATATTTATAAATTACAAAAAATCTATATAAGACTGTGTGAAAGGGAAAAGATACAAAACTTTCAAAAATCACAAGAAGACTGATTCTTAAGGTCTTTTACTGTTACACAGCCAAAGGGCTTGGGAATTTAATCTGTCTTTTTGTGATTTTTAAATTCATAAATAATGAATTGGAATAAATAAATGTTTGATACTTATAATTGGATTGTTTTGTGAATTAACACACAAATGTTTGTTATGGGTAGACGTGGAGCTGCTGACGTTCTGCCATATGGACAGGAAAATATGGGCAACCTTCAGGCCCATGCTCAAGCACAAGCCCAGGCTCAAGCACAAGCCCAGGCCCAGGTTCAGGTCCAAGTCCCGGTAGGAGAGCCTGGGCCGAGCCCAAGCCAGGCCCAGCACACACACCCAGGACCACAGATGCCCAAACGACCACGCCTGGCCATCGACCGGCCAGAGATTCAACAGCCTCTTCATATAGATGTCAAAAAGGTCTGTAGATCTGTGTCTTATACCTGTCAGATAGATCAGTAGAGCTGTGTGTCTTATACCTGTCAGAAAGATCAGAAGAGCTGTGTCTTATACCTGTCAAAAAGGTCTGTAGATCTGTGTCTTATACCTGTCAAAAAATTCTGTAGAGCTGTGTGTGTCTTATACCTGTCAGAAATATCAGTAGATCTGTGTGTGTCTTATACCTGTCAGAAAGATCAGTAGATCTGTGTGTGTCTTATACCGGTCAGAAAGATCAGTAGATCTGTGTGTTTCTTATACCGGTAAGAAAGATCAGTAGATCTGTGTGTGTATTATACCTGTCAGAAAGATCTGTAGATCTGTGTGTGTCTTATGCCTGTCAGAAAGATCAGTAGAACTGTGTGTGTTATACCTGTCCGAAAGATCAGTAGAGCTGCTTGTGTCTTATACCTGTCAGAAATATCAGTAGAGCTGTGTGTGTCTCATACCTGTCAGAAAGATCAGTAGATCTGTGTGTGTATTATACCTGTCAGAAAGATCAGTAGAGCTGTGTGTGTCTCATACCTGTCAGAAAGATCAGTAGAACTGCGTGTGTTATACCTGTCCGAAAGATCAGTAGAGCTGTGTGTGTCTTATACCTGTCATAAATATCAGTAGAGCTGTGTGTGTCTTATACATGTCAGAAATATCAGTAGAGCTGTGTGTGTCTTATACCTGTCAGATTGATCATTACAGCTGTGTGTGTCTTATAATTGTCAGAAAGATCAGTAGAATTTCGTCTGTAAGATGTTAAAAGCATTTTTCTTAAAAAACCTGTAAAGCCCATGAGTTATGACAACTGACCTGTAGCCTGTTGCCATTAAGTGATATCATGTTGTTAAAATGAATCATCTAGATCCTCTTTCAATGTCACAGAGATATTAATGTGTTGAAAAAATACTTCAAACGATATAAAGAACCATGATGTTTAGTGTCAGGATGGTTGACCTGTGATATTGTGGGATAAATGACTATCAGGTGTACTTTGATAAATACTTATATATCTTAAAACTTAGATCACCGTTCAATAACCTAAATCTCAAAATTTAGATCACCTTTCAATAACCTAAATCTCAAAATTTAGATCACCTTTCAATAACCTACCTATTGACTTGATTTGCACCTAGCACTAGATGAATTTTTATAATGTTGTACAAGTAGGATCAAGTAAGCAATACAGACCCTGTGGACCTCTTGTTATAATGTAATAGAAGTAGGATCAAGTAAACTATACAGACCCTGTGGACCTCTTGTTATAATGTTATACAAGTAGGATCAAGTAAGCAATACAGACCATGTGGACCTCTTGTTATAATCTTATACAAGTAGGATCAAGTAAGCAATACAGACCCTGTGGACCTCTTGTTATGATGATATACAAGTAGGATCAAGTAAGCAATACAGACCCTGTGGACCTCTTGTTATAATCTTATACAAGTAGGATCAAGTAAGCAATACAGACCATGTGGCCCTCTTGTTATAATCTTATACAAGTAGGATCAAGTAAGCAGTACAGACCCTGTGGACCTCTTGTTATAATGTTATACAAGTAGGATCAATTAAGCAATACAGACCCTGTGGACCTCTTGTTATGATGATATACAAGTAGGATCAAGTAAGCAATACAGACCCTGTTGACCTCTTGTTATAATGTTATGCAAGTAGGATCAAGTAAGCAATACAGACCCTGTGAACCTCTTGTTATAATGTTATACAAGTAGGATCAAGTAAGCAATACAGTCCCTGTGGACCTCTTGTTAGTTGATGTCATGATTCACAAAAGAACAATGTTTTCCAAATTGAAAAGGCATGTACCCTAAAATACACAAAGAAAAGTGTATTGGATTTATTAATTGTGATGAGATGTTTTTATGACAGGAGCCGACGTACAATCCTCAAGTGGAGGCAATATCCCCGACACTGCCAGCCGACGAGAGTACTAGCCGATCCTCTAAGGATGAACTATTGCAGGCCATTAGTAGGGTAGACCGGGAGATCTCCAAGGTGGAACAGCAGATCCAGAAACTACAGAAAAAACAGGTACAAACCACTAGTTACACTTAATTATGAAACATATAGATACAGAAATATCAGCAAAAACACATACTGATCACAAGATACACAATACTGTGAAATATACTTACCACAAGTGACACAATACTGTGAAACATATAGATACAGAAAAATCAGGAAAAACTCGAACTGATCATGAATCAATGATTTACTGACGGAAATCCAAATACTGAAAACTAGGTACTGATCATAAGTTAAATGGTCAACTCTCAATGTATTGTTAGAGAAAGTCAGCAAATGAATTGGTAAACTGCTGAAAAAACAGGTATGGACTATGTAAGAAACAGTCCAGTCTCACCTTTAAAGATTTGTAAAGTAGAGAAAAACCCCAGAGTACTTAACAATTCATCTTCGCTAGCCAAATGTTCGCTTCGTATACACTCCACTTACCCTTGGCGGATAAAGCTGTGTTTTCATAATTACCTCCACTGCCACCTAGCGGACATACAGAGTTATTGTTTTTCTCCCAATTTTTTTTTAACCAATCAGAATGACCGTTACATACACACTCCACCAGCGTGTTGACAAAAGCATGTGTATGTTGAGGTGGATTATAAATGATAGAGCAATATGGAAACAATCCAAAGGCAGCACACATATTTTCCTAGTTCATCATTTACATGTGGCACGTAGTCAAGGATTTCCACCGACTGATTTAAAACTCCAGAAGTTTCCCCAAAGATGGTGCGCAATTTTTTTGGGGCAAAACACTCCAACATAAACGACAATGTGCTTCCGTACAGGGCGTCACCATTACTCTTTTCCTACATCAACAGCCCTATATGTAAGACGCGATTTCATTGGATGCGAGCGAATGGCACTGCACTAATATTTGAAGGCTCAGTAAACACGGCTATATATCCGCCAAGGGTAAATGGAGTGTATACGAAGCGAACATTTGGCTATCGAAGATGTTAACAATTAGTAAAATGGTGAAAAGAAGGCATTTGTCAAATGGTCATTTTATAATGGTAGATCGAGTCCTGGCTATGTTGATTTTGTTTTTGGATAGATATTGTTTGTGTAGGGCAGGTGTTGGTGGTAGTGTTGATTGTCAGCATCAATATTTAGTGGTAAATGCTGATATGTGAAAATATGCAATGGTGAATATTATATAAGTGGGCTTTCCAAATCTGTATTATTAGATATTAAAATGATAGATATCCTCACATGGTTCAGTTAGTCCTGTCTGACATAAAAATACATTGTATTTGATTTTTCCAGCACCAAATTGAAGAGGAAACTTCAAAACCACCCAGGGAGAAATCTGAGGCTCCTGAAATATCCTCTTCTGAAAGTAAACACCAGAGTATTGCACAGATAATCTACGCAGAAAACAGGGTACTGCATCAGTTTTAACATTGCTTGTGATTGTGTAAATAATGAAGCAGAAATTTGTATGAATTTTTTTCTCTTAAAATAAATTGATTTGTGTTTATCCCGTTCACCAAACTAAAACGATGTATGTGGGATAAACAGAATAGCTGGATCGCAACAGGACGTATAAATTATTCTATTATTGTAAATTTAAAAAAAAGTTTATCCAATACAACAGTTTATCTGAATGTTCGGTTTATGAAAGTGACTGAAACTACAACCGAAATATTGACACTGGCATGTTAATTTCGAGTATGGGAGAAAAAAATCAAACATGGGTATGGTCCGTGGACAGGGAAATCTCAACCCGAGGGTAAGAGTTTGGCTGTCCAGCACTCTACAAAGCCTCGTGCTAGATAGCCAAACTCTTACCCTCGGGTAGAGATTTCCCTACAAAGCCTCGTGTTAGACAGCCAAACTCTTACCCTCATGTAGAGATTTCCCTGCAAAGCCTCGGGCTAGATAGCCAAACTCTTACCCTCGTGAATTGATTTCCCTGCAAAGCCTCGTGCTAGATAGCTAAACTCTTACCCTCGGGTAGAGATTTCCCTACAAAGCCTCGTGCTAGATAGCCAAACTCTTACCCTCGCGTAGAGATTTCCCTGCAAAGCCTCGTGCTAGATAGCCAAACTCTTACCCTCGTGAATTGATTTCCCTGCAAAGCCTCGTGCTAGATAGCCAAACTCTTACCCTCGGGTTTAGATTTCTCTACAAAGCCTCGTGTTAGATAGCCAAACTCTTACCCTCGTGAATTGATTTCCTTGCAAAGCCTCGTGCTAGATAGCTAAACTCTTACCCTCGGGTAGAGATTTCCCTACAAAGCCTGGTGTTAGACAGCCAAACTCTTACCCTCGGGGAGAGATTTCCCTACAAAGCCTCGTGTTACACAGCGAAACTCTTACCCTCGGGTTTAGATTTGCCTACAAAGCCTCGTGTTAGATAGCCAAACTCTTACCCTCGTGAATTGATTTCCCTGCACAGCCTCGTGCTAGATAGCCAAACTCTTCCCCTCGGGTAGAGATTTCCCTACAAAGCCTCGTGTTACACAGCCAAACTCTTACCCTCGGGTTTAGATTTCCCTACAAAGCCTCGTGTTAGATAGGCAAACTCTTGCCCTCGGGTTGTGATTTCCCTACAAAGCCTCGTGTTAAACAGCCAAACTCTTACCCTCGGGTAGAGATTTCCCTACAAAGCTTCATGCTAGATAGCCAAACTCTTACCCTCGTGAAGAGATTTCCCTGCTAAGCCTCGTGCTAGATAGCCAAACTCTTACCCTCGTGAAGAGATTTCCCTGCAAAGCCTCGTGCTAGATAGCCAAACTCTTACCCTCGGGTAGAAATTTCCCTACAAAGCCTTGTGCTAGATAGCCAAACTCTTACCCTCGGGTAGAGATTTCCCTACAAAGCCTCGTGTTAGATAGCCAAACTCTTACCCTCGGGTAGAGATTTCCCTGCAAAGCCTCATGCTAGATAGCCAAACTCTTACCCTCGTGTAGAGATTTCCCTACAAAGCCTTGTGTTAGACAGCCAAACTCTTACCCGAGGGTAGAGATTTCCCTACAAAGCCTCATGTTAGATAGCCAAACTCTTACCCTCGGGTAGAGATTTCCCTACAAAGCCTCGTGTTAGACAGCCAAACTCTTACCCTCGGGTAGAGATTTCCCTACAAAGCCTCGTGTTAGACAGCCAAACTCTTACCCTCGGGTAGAGATTTCCCTACAAAGCCTCGTGTTAGACAGCCAAACTCCTACCCTCACTCCTACCCTCGGGTAGAGATTTCCCTACAAAGCCTCGTGTTAGACAGCCAAACTCTTACCCTCGGGGAGAGATTTCCCTGCAAAGCCTCGTGTTAGATAGCCAAACTCGTACCCTCAAGTAGAGATTTCCCTACAAAGCCTCGTGTTAGACAGCCAAACTCTTTCCCTCGGGTAGAGATTTCTCTACAAAGCCTCGTGTTAGACAGTCAAACTCTTACCCTCGGGTAGAGATTTCCCTACAAAGCCTTGTGTAAGACAGCCAAACTCTTACCCTCGGGTAAAGATTTCCCTACAAAGCCTCGTGTTAGACAGCCAAACTCTTACCCTCGGGTAGAGATTTCCCTACAAAGAAACTCTTACCCTCAAGTAGAGATTTCCCTACAAATCCTCGTGTTAGACAGCCAACCTCTTTCCCTCGGGTAGAGATTTCCCTGCAAAGCCTCGTGTTAGACAGGCAAACTCTTACCGTCGGGAAGAGATTTCCCTACAAAGCCTCGTGTTAGACAGCCAAACTCTTACCATCGGGTAGAGATTTCCCTACAAAGCCTCGTGTTAGACAGCCGAACTCTTACCCTCGGGTAGAGATTTCCCTGTCCACGGACCATACCTTTGTAAGATTCTATTCATCTAAACATTTCTTTATAAAAATGATCTGTAAAAAATTCTATCCCTGTTTGATATGATTGAGTATATCGTATTATCGAGTGATTTGTGTGAAATTTTGTAGTATAATTATAAAAATAAATTGATAAAATGCTGATCAATTTTCCTAATCCAAGGGAGGTAAAAATTCCTTTAATACCCTGTTGGACAACACTAATCATAAAAATATCTTTTTTTTCTTGCTGTTTCATAGAAAAAGGCCGAGGAAGCACACTCATTACTTGGCAAACTCGGACCCAAGATTGAGTTGGTGAGTACTTACTTGAAATTTTGTGTAGGAAACCATATTAGGAAATAGGTTAGCTTTTTCCTTTGGTGATTTTTTGGGAAAATGTAGCTTAAAACTCTCTTGGGGAAACAAAAATATTTGGCTATAAATGTTCAAAAAAGGAGGGGATATATTTGATATGTACAGAAGAAAATTAATGATTAATGAAATAAGTTCAGAATAATCCACTTAAACTCAGTCATGGGAAGCCTCCTGTATTACCAGAGAACTGATAAAAGTGATACCAATGTGTAAATGTTTAGTGCTGGATAATGAAACAAAAAGTGTGTTTAAACATCAATCAATTTTCTCTAAAACTTACTTTTAGTCTTCACAACATTCTAATTTCTTGTGCTGGTAAACTTATTTGACAACTAAAAATATACTTTTTTTTACAGCCCCTGTACAATCAGCCATCAGATACTTTAGTATATCACGAGAATAAAAGGAAGTAAGTAGATTTTGTTTGAAGTTGTATAAAGGAACAATTTAAAAATGTAATATCTATTTTGAAGTTGTTAATTACTTCATAATTTTATGGCTGTTTCATAAAATAAAATGCAGTTAGTTTTCAAGAAAGTCTTGGAGTTTTCGTGGTTGATAGTCCCCCATCATTGCTGTGATAGGTTTGCCCTCTATCCATGTGTGAATTCATATGAGATATCTCATGTTGTGTACTGATAGTGAGTATCGTGCTACACTTTATACAGAGTTATGGCCCTTTGTCACCATGCACCACAATGTCGGGAATACACATCATTTACTGTGTCACCCTCAATAACCTAATTATGGGATGATTGAATGTTGACAACAGGAATAGGGCCTCTGGTCTCGCTATATAGAGTTATGACCCTATGTTCATCGTAAATGACTTTGTCGGGGGAAATATTTCATATACTGTCACCTACAATTGTCAAACTTTCTATGTTAGTATCTCTTCATCCGATGGCAAAGTGTCACATACTGAAATGAGGTCCCCTACCCAGCTTTTTACAGAGTTATAGCCCTTTATTCTTATTTTCTCTTTTTATCATAGTTTCTTTGGAGGTAGAGGACTACTGATTGGGACAATTTTTTTGCCATGTCACATTTCTGATTTCTGCAACAACTGCAGTGAATTTGTAAGAAATGTTCTTGTACGGAACTTGGAATAATTATTTAATTATTTTTCCAGACATGCTGTTTTCAAAAGTCGACTTATACTGCACTTCAAGAAGAGACACCAAGCTCGCAGAATCAGGGTAAGTCTAACCTGTATCAGTATTCATGTTTATACCAAGTTAAACATCACCTGCTGCAGGTAAACTTTTTTTAGTGGAAGATGATTAGGGCAGGCAGTCCTCATTGAAACTACTGCTTGTTTGTTTTATAATTATGATATGTTGGCACTTAAAAATAAAAAAAATCATGCAACATAAGCAAGTCCAAAAGTTAATTAAGCACCCAAAAGTATTTGAAAGAAATAAAATATTTCTGAAAATGTCATTTCATTTTTTGTCGATTATGAAAAGAAGAAGACCAGAATTTTAAAGTTGAAATCTTTGTTGTGAAGCCATAATAATTGAAATTCAATTGAAATCTTTAAAAATGTAACTCGTAAAGTTTTAACTTGTAAAAGAATATCACTTCAAAACATGGCTCAGTAAAACATCTTAGAAATTACCTATTTTAACAGTAACACATTTCAGGATTTTGATGAAGTGAAGTTTTTATATCCCACAACATAATGGAAGTGGCATTAGTGGTTTGCCTTTGTCAGTCTGTACTTGCATCAGTCTGTAGGACATCTTGGTTAGATATTGCATTTAGCCCCATCACTCTTGAATAATAGAAGTACAACTGAGATCAAACTTCGTATTATGTCTATACTTATTGAGTACTGCCCCAATATATCAAATGTAGGTCACTGTGACCTATTTTTTCTGCTTCACAGACTTGGTTAAATTTTGCAGTTAGCTCCCTTTGTTTGTAAGACTTTGTGTTCAACTAAATTTTCATGAAAATGGGAGTACGTGCATTAATATTTCTAGTTATTTTAGTATATTTTTTTTAGATCAATTGTTATAAGTTTTCTGTTTATCTGTAGGAAATTCTCGTTTGTTTAGGATCATCATCTTTTAATCAGGATTTCGCTGTTTACCTAAATAGTTTTGTATTTTACCTGTTCGAGTAAAGCTTGTTTTGCTGAGTTTAACCTGTAATTCCTGTTTCTCTACTTACCTGTAGGAGCGTTACCTGACCGACAGGTACGATCAGCTGATGCAGGTATGGCTCAAAAAGATGGAACGAGTGGAAAACAATACAAAACGCAAGTAAGTATATTGAGATAAAAAAAAATTCATCCCGGCTCTTAAAGTTCTCAGTAACTAGTCCCACTCCGCAGTGAGAATAACAATATTAGCAAGGGTTGGACCTCAGCTATGCTGTAAGGTTTGGTACTTCATTTGGATAGCTTGTGACATCTTCACACGAAGTTTGTGACATCTTCACACGTAGATATAAGTTTTCATCAAATTGATAATGTCCAATATTTCAGTGGTGAGCATTTAATAAAAAAAAAAGAAAAGTTTTGTTTCATGGAAAATTTATGTAACTTCACTGTAAGTTTTTTTCCAGACTTTCATTAATCTTTTATCAATACTTGTGTAAGATCCTATACATAATATCACTTTTAGCAGTGTAAGTTAGTCGAATATACAGAAAACTTTCAATAATGCTGTCACCTGACACATCAAATGTAAAACAAAAACCTTAGAATCCTTTGACTTTCTTTTATCACATTATTAAAGGAAAAACTTCGAAATGTTCTTTATCTTTCCTATAGGGCCAAAGATGCAAAGATGAGGGAATATTACGAGAAAATCTTCCCAGAAATCAAAAAGTCCCGTGAAGATAAAGAGAGGTTCTCCAGGTTTGTTTTGTTTCGTTCATGCTTAAATTGTAAGATCTTATTGTAAGATGATTCTGAAGTGGAAAATACTGCAATGATTGGGCATAAATAACACACTGGACTCTGAACATGTCCAAAGCACTTGACTGTCAACTGACCTTAAAAAGAGGCAACACTGGACACTGACCTTAAAAAGAGGTAACACTGGACACTGACCTTAAAAAGAGGTAACACTGGACACTGACCTTTAAAAGAGGCAACACTGGACACTGACTTTAAAAAGAGGCAACACTGGACACTGACCATAAAAAGAGGCAACACTGGACAGTGACCTTAAAAGAAGAAACACTGGACACTGACCTTAAAAAGAGGCAACACTGGACACTGACCTTAAAAAGAGGAAACACTGGACACTGACCTTAAAAAGAGGAAAAAACACTGGACACTGACCTTAAAAAGAGGCAACACTGGACACTGACCTTAAAAGAAGAAACACTGGACACTGACCTTAAAAAGAGGCAACACTAGACAGTGACCTTAAAAAGAGGCAACACTGGACACTGACCTAAAAAGAGGCAACACTGGACACTGACCTTAAAAAGAGGCAACACTGGACACTGACCTTAAAAAGAGGCAACACTGGACAGTGACCTTAAAAAGAGGCAACACTGGACACTGACCTAAAAAGAGGCAACACTGGACACTGACCTTAAAAAGAGGCAACACTGGACACTGAACATTATGACTGAACACATGTTAACATCTTATTCAATAAGTGTCATCATCTCCGAGTGACAATTATTTCAAAGCTGAATGAAGTAAAGTGTACTACTAATTTTACATATATTTATTAATTGTTAATTAAAAATATCTGAATATTCTAGAATCAAAGAATTCCAGCCGATTTCAAATACAAGATTTTTTAAAAAGGAAGGAAGAAGAAACAAAGGAATTTGTATTTTAATTAAGAACGTTTTAACTTTTAGATGTTTTTGATTATTTAAAGCAGGGCTGGTACGAGAAGTGGAAATATTGGCCCGTACGCCCGCAGTGAGGCAGAGTTTGAACAAATTGTCGATGGACTTCATGAACAAGAGGTATGCTGTGTTGATATTGTGAAATCTAGACTTTGATCTTTTCTGACCAAACGGAAAAAATGAATATGATTGTCTTTAAAGGGCCGGTTTCCAAAACGGCCCCTTCTCTGATTCAAATTTCCTGTTGGTGGTGCATTGCCCATGCCGTTGTGGTCACAAATCTATAAAGTATAAAGATTTAGGTCACTTGGTTTGTTTTTTATGGCTCCTCAAAGTTGTACCTTTCAGAAGCTGTCTAAGTGTTGATAAAATGTGCATGTTATGTAAAATATTAATGAAAATCTAATCAAATGATGGTCACCGTAAAGAATACATTCATGGCATGATTGTGACAAAAAATCATGTTTCCATCGCGCCATTTGGCTGTTTTATGGAAGAAACAATCTCAAAAATGCCATTTTCGATGATAACATTTTAGACACAAAAACTGTGTTTTTTAGAGAATACACCCTTTTATGGGCGTTGGATGCAAACCAATTTTTATCCTATTAAACAGTACGTAATATGCTATTGATGAGAGGAAAAATCATCAAAATGTAAGTGGTGGAACATTTTCAAATGTTGGGTTGAATTAGCCTATGGTTGAATTGCCGATTTTCGACTTTCTTTAGATAATTAACAAAAAAACGAGAGTATTTGCTCGGTATGTTGAGAATATGTACACAGATATGAAAAAAAGTGAGAGAAACACTTTTTCATAAAAAAAATCCAAGATGGCTACTTCACAAGTCCCCGTGGTTGAAGACATTGGCTGACAAATAGACAGAACAACAAACAAAACGTGTTCCTTATGATTTTGGTTGGTTTTCGCATTTACGGGAGTGTTCATAGCTACGGGCGATTGTATAATACCTATATTTATAAGTTTGGTTAGTCACATGGTAACGGGGATCTTTCATATCGAGCCCCAAACATACTTTCGACATATGCACTCCGTTGCCGCATGGAAAACTATTTCAAGTTTTGTCGGAATTTCTTTACCTGTGGTTGTAATGGTCGAGGGTTTTCCAGCGTCCTGTAATACCCAAGGTAGTACAAGATACTGGAGATGTGCGCACACATTCCCATCGTTCTCTCTCCAACTGGGCACTGGCAGTAGTAGTCCTTTATTGGGGCCTCAACATCGGGTGAAACGGTGAACCGTATCCAAACGTTATATTTCGTTTGGCTTTTGTGTCGAGAATGTATTTGACATCGGAGAAGGTCTGGGGAGTGCTGGTAAAGCCACACCTCATAGTCTCCGTCATCACTTAAATGTTCGGCGATGTAACCAGGAGCCAGAGATATCTGATACGTTCCACACGTAATGGTTCTCAAGTAATCAAGATCGAGACGGGGAAACAGTACGGAAGATGCATCCATCTTGACAAACTCGGACCTTGCCCGTCTAGATAGATCCGGATCTGTCTTGACTCTCTGAGCTAAACCATTCGGTGTTGTCAAACGGTCCTTCATACGTTCAGCCATTAGCCTATCTTTGGCATCTCTCTCTGGAGATCTCTGGTAGATCGGTCCTCTAATACCATTCAGACAGGCTGTGACGGTTCGAAGCAAAGCCTCGATGACATTGATAAAGCTGTTAGACACCAATTGCGTTCGGAAGAACGTCCAGTGTTTCAGACGACCATGATAGGATTCCACAATCCACCTCGATTTGGTGATAGTTCTGTCAAGATTTGCTTGGACGTCAGAATGTTGACTTTGACCGGGTTTCAGGTATGACGGCATGCTAGCATTGAGGCCAGAGGCTTCGAGAACTGGTAGGACATCTCTAAAACCTCGGTCAACGACAACGTTGTCGTCTGGTTGTAGCCAAGTAACTAGCTTGTCCATGACTTTTTTTGTAATTGTAGCATCATTTTCGCTGCCAGTGAATGGTCCTACTGTGTCCAGAATGTAGCCATCTGGTAAGGCGATGCTCATGAATTTGAGATAGTTTCTCTTCTTCTGGCCACAGTAGGACATTCTCTGGAGCTTGTGGTCGGAGCTTTTCTGGATATAAATATAGGTGCCATCTAATATGGCAGTGGCTTTATCTCCAAAAAATGCTTCTGAAAAGACAGTATTGTGCCCGAGCAACTGTTCTCTTGTCAAGTGATCCGGACCTAGAAATTGTGGGACTATCGATGTGTCTAATGCCTGTACTATGGAGTGGAAAGTTTTGGACACACTTGACTTGGAAATTCCAAAAAGAGAAGAACACTGACTCCAGGAAATGTCGGTTTTCAGTTTTACCCAGAACAGTAATAGAGCATCGTGTGTAGTCTTGGTATATATACCAGATGAAAGATATGGGGAACAGTGCGAGTGGATTTCGAGGAACTGATCTTTGGACCAACCTGTCCAGGCCATGCATGCCGAGTCATCAAGAGAAGAAAAGCTTATTGTAAACGCAGACTGGTTCTGTGAAAGGACGTGCGACACCTCTAGGAGGTCATTAATGATTTCGGACGATTTTGATGGTAACTGAGATTCCAAGGAACCTCTACCATCAAGGACAACCTCTGTAGACGGATCTAAGTCGTTACCAATAAGGTGAATGGAGCAGACGCGGGATGAGGTGGGACACCACAGTTTGTGTGAATAGATCAGGTGATGTCTTGCACGTTTTGGTAAGACTGATGATTTTGTTCCATTTCTTGCAAAGGTAACAAGACAGAGACAGCATTTTTTGTGTGAAGATGATCCATTCAAAAGATCATGAAGGGTCAGCAACGGCAGGATATGGGACGGGGAGTCGTCTTCTTCCTCTATTTCCTGGTTCTGCTCGGGTTCAGGTTCAGGCTGATTTTTGTTCCGAAGATACTTCATGTAGCACTTCTGGCAAATAAGTGCTTGTTCCTTTGCTGACATCAATCCTTGTTGCACCAGCGTATCTAGGAGCCATTTATATTGTGGACTATTTACATTGCGTGCACTTCTGTTCTTATTGCCACTACGTTTCTTGAAGTATACTTGACACCCTTCTCCAACACATTTACCCTCCATCTTGAAACAATAACGATTGGTTTATGAAGCGTCGATAAAGTAACAAAATAGCAAGCCACCGATGATTGCTGTAAACAGCTAATACTTAGTAGTTTGGTACAATTATGCGAAAATGTGTGATAAATAACGAACAACTAATTACACAAAATAACAAGACAATATAATAAATCACATTCAATACCTCCAAGAAGCGCAGAATTGATTGATTACTTAGAACAAAATAAAGTATTTCATATGGATAATCTATCTATTCGATGTGGCGTGGTCGGCAGGCACAAAGAAAGTGAGACAAGTCAGGGTCCCAACCCTGACAGAGCCACAACGCTTTGGAGATGGGACAATAAAACAAGGAAAGTGAGACAAGAATAGCTAGCGTCGAGTCAATGATTCCGTAAACGTATAGACAAAGACAAGAAGATACGGATAAATGTACAAGGCCACACGATCAGAAAATTCAGAAGAGGACAACTTGAGATAGAACAGTATTCATGTATCAGGGTGTCCTCAGTGTAAATCTTTATATCGATACTGTTTATTTAGTCGTTACACATCATAAAACTGTCATGAAAATATCCGCTCTGATATTCAATATAAAAGTTTGTATATAATAAGCTATATAATAGGGTTTCAGACAAGGTTGTTACTCATTTCCCCTTTTCTTTCAATTTACAACCACATTCAGGCGGCGATATGAGAACGTTCCACCACATGGAATTAGCTGATTTTTGGTACACATATGAAACAAGTAAAGCTCTATCCGATTTTCTGATGGAAATTTGCATCCAAAACTATATAACGGGAGAAAATTGCAATTTTATGGCATTTTTCTTCATAATTGTGTCTCTGCAAGTGCATTTTCATCCGAGAATTTTTTTTTTTATGTTTTATGAATAAACACGATGTTTTGGAAATATTTATCAAAAGAAATTTATACTATGTTGCGAATTACAATTTCGAGATAACCTTCTTTTATTTACGAACTTATGTCTTTGATGCTGAAATTGACAACTTTATAAAAATACATTTTCACTGAAATTATGAAATCTGGGTGTCGGAAAGGTGTAAAATTATTCTTCGGAAAAGAAAAAAACAGTAGTTGAGCTAGATAAGAAATAATACGGGGGCAGGCTCCTATGGAGAATTAACATTACTGGAAACAGGCCCTTTGTAGAGTTTGAACAAATTGTTAATGAACCAAGGTATGTCGTGTTGGAGTTAAGAATTTTAAAATTGATTGTTTTATGATGTCATAAAAACAATGTTTTTGAATTTCTACTATTCTTACCAAAACATTTTACCAGGAATTGTCTGCATTTATGTGCCACCCAACCACTTAGAATTATTTGAATTCATGAAACTAGACTTTCCACTCTAAAAGCAGACTCGGAAAAAACAAAATAATTGATTTCATATAGGATTGTATGATACACAATGGGAATATTTAGAGTTGCTGTAAATTTTGTTGCTAAGTTTGGTTATTCAATGTGATTACTGTTGATGAATATTTGAAAAATACACAAGAGTGTATGCTTTGATAATGATAAGATGATCTTGAGTTTTGTTCTGATGGTAGATAACTCTATTATAAGTCGCATATATAAAATATAGAATGTAGCATATAGCCTTAATATAAACTGAAGTTTTTTTAGATGATTAGATACTTCATTACTGATGATTCCCTATACATTTGTTTGTTTTCAATCCATGTTTACCAGGAGGATGACAAGAAGATGCGTAGCTATGCCGTGATCCCGCCGATGATGCTGGACGCACGTCAGCGGAGTCTTCGTTACCTCAATAACAATGGCCTGATCGAGGATCCCATGGAGGATTTTAAGGAGCGACCAAACATCAACGTATGGACGCCACAGGAAAAGCAGATCTTCAAGGAGAAGTACCTGCAGCACCCCAAAAACTTCACAGTCATACAGCAGTACTTAGAGCGCAAGGTAGGCAAGGAAGAAGGGAATTAGTAAGTTGTTGCCAGGCCAAAGATTAGATATTTTGGGACCTCATCTATATTAAGCAGCATATCTAGGATTATATTCATAAATTATGTTTCTCTCACACTGGAAATCCCCAGTCATATTTGAGGCCTCCCTAGAAAAATCAAAAAGAATTATCGTTCCTAAGGAATTTTTGTTTTTTGTTTGGGGTTTCACGTCTTCACAACAGCTAGGGTCATATGGGGACGGATGTCTAGGGAGACAAAACAGCTAGGGTCATATGGGGACGGGTGTCTAGGGAGACACAACAGCTAGGGTCATATGAGGACGGGTGCCTAGGGAGACACAACAGCTGGGGTCATATGAGGACGGGTGCCTAGGGAGGCACAACAGCTGGGGTTATATGAGGACGGGTGCCTAGGGAGACACAACAGCTGGGGTTATATGAGGACGGGTGCCTAGGGAGCCCCAACAGCTGGGGTCATATGAGGACGGGTGCCTAGGGAGAAACAACAGCTGGGGTCATATGAGGACGGGTGCCTCGGGAGACACAACAGCCAGGGTCATATGAGGACGGGGGCCTAGGGAGACACAACAGCTGGGGTTATATGAGGACGGGTGCCTAGGGAGACACAACAGCTAGGGTCGTATGAAGACAGGGGTCTAGGGAGACACAACAGCTAGGGTCATTGAAGACGTGTGTCTAGGGAGACGCAACAGCCAGGGTCATATGAGGACGGGTGCCTAGGGAGACACAACAGCTAGGGTCATATGAAGACGGGTGACTAGGGAGACACAACAGCTAGGGTCATTGAAGACGTGTGTCTAGGGAGACACAACAGCCAGGGACATATGAGGACGGGTGCCTAGGGAGACACAACAGCTAGGGTCATATGAGGACGGATGTCTAGGGAGACACAACAGCTAGGGTCATATGAGGATGGGTGTCTAGGGAGACACAACAGCTAGGGGCATTGAAGACGTGTGTCTAGGGAGACACAACAGCCGGGGTCATATGAGGACGGGTGCCTAGGGAGAAACAACAGCTGGGGTCATATGAGGACGGGTGCCTAGGGAGACACAACAGCTAGGGTCATATGAAGACGGGTGTCTAGGGAGACACAACAGCTAGGGGCATTGAAGACGTGTGTCTAGGGAGACACAACAGCCGGGGTCATATGAGGACGGGTGCCTAGGGAGGCACAACAGCTGGGGTTATATGAGGACGGGTGCCTAGGGAGACACAACAGCTAGGGTCATATGAGGATGGGTGTCTAGGGAGACACAACAGCTAGGGTCAGATGAGGACGGGTGCCTAAGGAGACACAACAGCTAGGGTCATATGAGGATGGGTGTCTAGGGAGACACAACAGCTAGGGTCATATGAAGACGGGTGACTAGGGAGACACAACAGCTAGGGTCATTGAAGACGTGTGTCTAGGGAGACGCAACAGCCAGGGTCATATGAGGACGGGTGCCTAGGGAGACACAACAGCTGGGGTTATATGAGGACGGGTGCCTAGGGAGACACAACAGCTGGGGTCATATGAGGACGGGTGCCTAGGGAGACACAACAGCCAGGGTCATATGAGGACGTGTGCCTAGGGAGACACAACAGCTGGGGTCATATGAGGACGGGTGACACCACCGGAAAAGAGAAAGTAGATGGAAAAGAAAGTTAGAAGACAGGAAAGATAGGAAACAAAAAAGATTCCATGTGTTTCATAGGGGGTAGTAGATCATAGGGGTAGTAGATCATAGGGGTAGTAGATCATAGGGATAGTAGATCATAGGGAGTAGGGGATCATAGGGGGTAGTAGATCATAGGGAGTAGGGGATCATAGGGGTAGTAGATCATAGGGATAGTAGATCATAGGGGGTAGTAGATCATAGGGAGTAGGGGATCATAGGGGTAGTAGATCATAGAGATAGTAGATCATAGGGGGTAGTAGATCATAGAGATAGTAGATCATAGGGGGTAGTAGATCATAGAGATAGTAGATCATAGGGGGTAGTAGATCATAGGGGGTAGTAGATCACAGGGAGTAGGGGATCATAGGGGTAGTAGATCATAGGGATAGTAGATCATAGGGGGTAGTAGATCATAGGGAGTAGGGGATCATAGGGGTAGTAGATCATAGAGATAGTAGATCATAGGGGGTAGTAGATCATAGAGATAGTAGATCATAGGGGGTAGTAGATCATAGAGATAGTAGATCATAGGGGGTAGTAGATCATAGGGGGTAGTAGATCATAGAGATAGTAGATCATAGGGGGTAGTAGATCATAGAGGTAGTAGATCATAGGGGGTAGTAGATCATAGAGATAGTAGATCATAGGGGGTAGTAGATCATAGGGAGTAGTAGATCACAGGGAGTAGGGGATCATAGGGGTAGTAGATCATAGGGATAGTAGATCATAGGGGGTAGTAGATCATAGGGATAGTAGATCATAGGGGGTAGTAGATCATAGGGGGTAGTAGATCACAGGGAGTAGGGGATCATAGGGGTAGTAGATCATAGGGATAGTAGATCATAGGGGGTAGTAGATCATAGGGGTAGTAGATCATAGGGGGTAGTAGATCATAGGGGTAGTAGATCATAGGGGGTAGTAGATCATAGGGGTAGTAGATCATAGGGGGTAGTAGATCATAGGGGTAGTAGATCATAGGGGGTAGTAGATCATAGGGGTAGTAGATCATAGGGGGTAGTAGATCATGGGGGTAGTAGATCATAGGGGGTAGTAGATCACGGGCGGTAGTAGATCATAGGGGTAGCAGATCATGGGGGTAGTAGATCATAGGCGGTAGTAGATCATAGGGGGTAGTAGATCATAGGGGGTAGTAGATCACAGGGGGTAGTAGATCACAGGCGGTAGTAGATCATAGGGAGTAGATCACAGGCGGTGGTAGATTACAGGGGGTAGTAGATCAAGTTGGGTTTATTCTATATCCTCTTCATAGAAGACAGGAAGGAAACCCCCAATTAGGCAGTGTACCACATTAGTTGCCTCCTATGATCATGCAGTGGGATACATCAAGCCTATTCTGTCCTGAATCTGCGTGGGTAAACATAGGACACGAGTAGGCTAGATCGTCTTGGCTGTTGTGACATATTGGGTTAACATAGGACACGAGTAGGCTAGATCGTCTTGGCTGTTGTGACATATTGGGTTAACATAGGACACGAGTAGGCTAGATTGTCTTGGCTGTTGTGACATATTGGGTTAACATAGGACACGAGTAGGCTAGATTGTCTTGGCTGTTGTGACATATTGGGTTAACATAGGACACGAGTAGGCTAGATTGTCTTGGCTGTTGTGACATATTGGGTTAACATAGGACACGAGTAGGCTAGATTGTCTTGGCTGTTGTGACATATTGGGTTAACATAGGACACGAGTAGGCTAGATTGTCTTGGCTGTTGTGACATATTGGGTTAACATAGGACACGAGTAGGCTAGATTGTCTTGGCTGTTGTGACATATTGGGTTAACATAGGACACGAGTAGGCTAGATTGTCTTGGCTGTTGTGACATATTGGGTTAACATAGGACACGAGTAGGCTAGATTGTCTTGGCTGTTGTGACATATTGGGTTAACATAGGACACGAGTAGGCTAGATTGTCTTGGCTGTTGTGACATATTGGGTTAACATAGGACACGAGTAGGCTAGATTGTCTTGGCTGTTGTGACATATTGGGTTAACATAGGACACGAGTAGGCTAGATCGTCTTGGCTGTTGTGACATATTGGGTTAACATAGGACACGAGTAGGCTAGATTGTCTTGGCTGTTGTGACATATTGTTCTGTTTTGGTATAATATAATGTTTATTTCCCTTTATAGTAGGGAAACATGATCATTTGTTTAACCTGTGTTAACAATTATCAATATCTGGGAAACAAATGATGATGTTTCCCTCCTACAAGGGCAAAACATGTTTATTGTTAATGATGGAATCTAGCTGTGATAGGCTTTATATGTGTAAAACAAATACTTCTATGTTCTCAAATTTATAAAAGTGATAAGTGGCAGTGATTAAGGAAAAGGTAGCTTAGTTGACTCGTGGGAAAGTTCTGTTCTTAGCTGGAAATATTCACGGCTTAGTACGAATATGTGGCGTGTATTTACTATTCCACTGTTTCAGACTGTAGCTGACTGTGTACAGTATTACTATCAGACCAAACGAAGTGAAAACTACAAACAACTTCTTCGCAAGCAGACAGTAAAGAAAACAAAACGGCTTCAGAAGCAACAGGTAAGGATAACATTATGTGAATTGTTGATGCCCCCTGCTGCTTTAATGTTTGGAGGTGGAGGATGCATATAGTGTTACCATCATGTCTGTTTCATTCAGTTCTTTGTCCAACACTTCTGACTTCATTTCTGAACAGATTGTCACCAAATTTATACAAAGGTTAATTATGAGAATGTCTCGCATGAGGGAGGAGTTTGTTTTTCAGGGTTCCAAGATCAATGCCAAGGTCACTTGTTATTTATAGGTCAACCACAAGGCCAAACACAGGTCTCTTTTTTTTGTGATTGTAATTTGTTTTCGTGATAACGATACTTAATCTTGATGATATAATTAATTTCATAAACCATTTCATCGATATTTGAAAAGAGCACCAAGTTTTTGAAGTTCTTGTTATTCCTTATAAATATACAAATGGAACAATGAGTCCTGTACATTGAATCCAATATCTATCTGATCCAATATAATGCTGTGCTCTTAATTTTGCTATTTTTTTCTACATACAAATGTATTAATTTTAACGATCATGTCTGTTCGTAGCCTGCTGCTGCTGCCATAAAGGAGGAACCAAAAGAAGAACTTGAGGAGCCAGCATCGTCCGTACTGTCAATCTCCGGCACAGCCATAGCTCCGCCCCCCGAACCCGTCATCAAGAAGGAAGAGGAAAAAATAGAGGATGATGACACGTCTGATGACAACGAGGTCTCTACATCTGGAGCCGGTGAAGGTATGGGTCACTACTGAACATGATACATGGACAATGTATTAATCTGGAGCCGGTGAAGGTATGGGTCACTACTGAACATGATACATGTACAATGTATTAATCTGGAGCCGGTGAAGGTATGGGTCACTACTGAACATGATACATGTACAATGTATTAATCTGGAGCCGGTGAAGGTATGGGTCACTACTGAACATGATACATGTACAATGTATTAATCTGGAGCCGGTGAAGGTATGGGTCACTACTGAACATGATACATGTACAATGTATTAATCTGGAGCCGGTGAAGGTATGGGTCACTACTGAACATGATACATGTACAATGTATTAATCTGGAGCCGGTGAAGGTATGGGTCACTACTGAACATGATACATGTACAATGTATTAATCTGGAGCCGGTGAAGGTATGGGTCACTACTGAACATGATACATGTACAATGTATTAATCTGGAGCCGGTGAAGGTATGGGTCACTACTGAACATGATACATGTACAATGTATTAATCTGGAGCCGGTGAAGGTATGGGTCACTACTGAACATGATACATGTACAATGTATTAATCTGGAGCCGGTGAAGGTATGGGTCACTACTGAACATGATACATGTACAATGTATTAATCTGGAGCCGGTGAAGGTATGGGTCACTACTGAACATGATACATGTACAATGTATTAATCTGGAGCCGGTGAAGGTATGGGTCACTACTGAACATGATACATGTACAATGTATTAATCTGGAGCTGGTGAAGGTATGGGTCACTACTGAACATGATACATGTACAATGTATTAACAAAAAGCACATTTTATTGTCATTTGGTTATCACACTGATAATACGTCATAAATTTCTCTTCAAAAATTACTTTTTGCATGATAGCTGAATCAAAGATTGTGTTGTGTGGGTGGTGCTAGTCTTATATACAGCTGTGTGTAATTGTTTGCTTTGCTTCAGGTTTTGTCACTCTTAATTCATGAACTGTTTGCTGTCACTGCAAAATGCCCCCTCTTGAAATTTTGTCTCAATGCTGTTTGATGTCATACTTGCATTATGACATCAGATTAACTGACAACTCTGTCTGGGTTTTAAATGTCAAATAATGCAAATAAGGTTTATTTCAGAAAAAACCCATCAAAATTGTGATGGATTAATACAATTTATAACCAATTTTGTGACTTTTTCAGAAATACAATGCCCTATTTAAATTTTCAAGATTATCTTTGAGAACAGTGATTTGATAGAATACAAATCATATTCAATGATGTGTTATTACTCGTTGAATATCTACAATATTCCATGGAATATTGATTTACAATTGTTCATTATTCTAGGTGGGATACATCAGTGTGCAATCTGTACACAGCAGTTGGAGCACTACGGTCTGAGCCGACCTTTGACTCGGGCCAACTGTGAGCTGTATGGTATGACTGAGGCCGATCTCAAGGTGGACATGAGAGTGTGCAGCAGCTGTCGCTGTAAATCTGTTCGTCGTCGTTACACACAGTACGTAAATCAGTAAATGTGTCCGACACATGGCAGGTGTCGCTGTAAATCTGTTTGTCATCGTTACACACAGTGCGTAAATCAGTAAATGTGTCCGACACATGGCAGGTGTCGCTGGAAATCTGTTTGTCGTCGTTACACACAGGACGAGAATCAGTAAATGTGTCCGACACATGGCAGGTGTCGCTGTAAATCTGTTTGTCATCGTTACACACAGTGCGTAAATCAGTAAATGTGTCCGACACATGGCAGGTGTCGCTGTAAATCTGTTTGTCATCGTTACACACAGGATGTGAATCAGTAAATGTGTACGACACATGGCAGGTGTTGCTGTAAATCTGTTTGTCGTCGTTACACACAGGACATGAATCAGTAAATGTGTCCGACACATGGCAGGTGTCGCTGGAAATCTGTTTGTCGTCGTTACACACAGGACGTGAATCAGTAAATGTGTCCGACACATGGGAGCTGTCGCTGTAAATCTGTTTGTCATCGTTACACACAGGACCTGAATCAGTAAATGTGTCCGACACATGGCAGGGGTCGCTGTAAATCTGTTTGTCCTCGTTACACACAGGACGTGAATCAGTAAATGTGTCCGACACATGGCAGGTGTCGCTGGAAATCTGTTTGTCGTCGTTACACACAGGACGAGAATCAGTAAATGTGTCCGACACATGGCAGGGGTCGCTGTAAATCTGTTTGTCCTCGTTACACACAGGACGTGAATCAGTAAATGTGTCCGACACATGGCAGGTGTCGCTGTAAATCTGTTTGTCATCGTTACACACAGGATGTGAATCAGTAAATGTGTCCGACACATGGCAGGTGTCGCTGGAAATCTGTTTGTCGTCGTTACACACAGGACGAGAATCAGTAAATGTGTCCGACACATGGCAGGTGTCGCTGTAAATCTGTTTGTCATCGTTACACACAGGACGTGAAGCAGTAATGTGTCCGACACATGGCAGCTGTCGCTGTAAATCTGTTTGTCGTCGTTACACACAGGATGTGAATCAGTAAATGTGTACGACACATGGCAGGTGTTGCTGTAAATCTGTTTGTCGTCGTAACACACAGGACGCAAATCAGTAAATGTGTCCGACAGTTCCACATTGAGAGTAATTCTATAAATAGACTCTAACACACAGCAGCTGTTGCCTAAAAATTGTTCACTGTCATTACACACAGTATGTAAACCAGTGAATGTGTCTGATGAGATACAGCAGCTGTTGCTGTAAATCTTTATGCCTTTACATTCGATATGTAGTCCTATAAATAACCTCTGATAAACAGTTTACACTGTAAGGCAAACATTAAAAGTGGTCTCATTACACAGGTGAAATCTGGAGGTGGTTGTATGGGTTGGTTTGAAATACACCAACATAACACCTCCAGCACATATACAAACATTACACGCAAAAGCATGTCCTAAGATGCTAAACCAAATAAAACCAAACCGTACCACAATCTTCCCATGTACTTACACTGTGGTACATGTCTGCAGGAAAAAGTAGAAGTGTTGTAACATATTCAAACTATGTGTCTACATCTGTTATAATTTAGATTTCTGACAAAATCTGTAAACAAATTAATACATTTTGAAAGTGTTTACCCGATACTTTGTCATTGTTAAGTGGTTTTGAATTAGTGCAAAAAATACTAAATATCATTACCACTTAAACAGTGCATTTATAAATGTGAACAAATTGTTTTTGTATGATATACATTTTATATATTGTATTATATAATATGACAGGTGTCCAGTTCCAACCTGTAAAACCCCAAAGAGGAAAGTAAAACGTCTGCGACCGCTTCCTCCCAAATGGGCGGACTTGTCAGCAGAGGTGAAGGACCCCATCATCAAAGATCTTCGTAAGTTTGGCTCATTTTACTGATTTAGAATTAGGAAGTTATCAAACTTCTCCGAGGGTCTGGGCCATGAAAAGAAAGTGATTGAGAATATCCGCAAGTGACGGTCGTGATAATGTTTCTGATTTAGTAAGTCTTCAAGTATCTTCATAAGTCTAGCTTTAAAATATTTGCCTCTTAACAATAACGCAATGATATTGTTTCTGTATTTGTAATTATATGGTGCTTCAAGATGAATAAACCATGAACAAATTCGGTAGTTCTGAGTCATTTTAGTGCTGTATTTATAATGTTCTCCAACTCTGTTAATAAGTAAGAAAATGAATGGAAAATGGAATCGGTATATTTGGAACTCGTACACCCTATGGAACAGTGTACTATAGATATATAAATAAATAGTGAATACTTGTCACCTAAGCTAACTTTTTTGAAGCACATCAACGTTAAAGTTTTAACTGCAGGTTATTTAGAAGCTTGTCATTTATTAAATATGTGAACTAGGATGCTGATATTTTGCATAGAGGTTCATGTGGGGTAAAGTATTGATAAAGTGAAGTTAAAATTAAAAAATAATTTCATTTTTTTTTTAGACTTTTGACCTGTTTTGAACTTTACTAACACATCTTTAAAGACGATACAATTTTAAACTGGCAAGCATAGGCAGGCTTTGACACCATTTCTGGTTGTGTACTCCTTTATTGTAATTTATGCGTATGTTATCTTTGTGATTTTTGTTGTGAACAATATAGAGTTGACGGAGGAAATCACGAAGTGTTGTTCAGCGTGTTTCAACAGGATTGCGAGACGCCTCGGCACTAACCCTCAGACTAATGAACCGATTGTTCCACTCGTCCCAGAAACTAACGAAGGTGACTACCATTACAGACTACTCTGGTATTGTCCGATATATTTTAGTTGTCTGTTACTGTTTCAGGCAGTAATTAAATGTTGACTGAAACATTAAATCCCCTTGGTTTTAACAAACCATGAATTCACTTTGAGGTCCAGGTACAAGAATTTTAATGCTTTCACTGAAATAAAAATCCTTTAAAAATAAAACAAAAGTCCTTTTGGTGATTAAGCTCTAATTTTCTGTTTGAGTTTGAAGGAATATTCTGCATTAATTCATAAGTATTTGACTCACAAACTCATATTTCTGTTAAAAAAAATTGTAAAGGGATCTGCTGGGAAAAACGGACTAGAGGAGGTTATTTGGCAGCCTAATATTCTTAACTTATGTTTTATAAACAGCAGAAGTAGTGGAAACATCGAGATGGACTGAGGAAGAAATGGAGGTCGCTAAACAAGGTACCTTACCTATTCTCTCCTTAAAGTAGTTTTTTTTTCCACCAAGAAATCTGTATAAAAGTATTACAAATTTACTGAAACCCTTGCAGTATTTAAATTAGGGCTGTTCCAGAATTTAACTTTGGGGAGGGGTGGGATGCACTTTTTCAGAGACCCACCAACCCATAAATTTTAAAAGTTATTCTATATAAGGAATGGTAGACAGATCTGGGTTTTACCCCACCACCATTAATATAAAAACAATGTAAAAATGTACATTGCCCGTCTGTGATGAGTTCTGATATTTAGTTTTTTTCGCACAAGGATTATGTAATGGTTAAGGTTCATATCACAAATTCCTAAAAGTCCTTAAAGAAGTTGTAAATTCTGTTGCAGGTCTGAGACAACATGGCCGAGACTGGGCAGCCATCGCCTTAATGGTTGCCACAAAAACCGAAGCACAATGTAAAAACTTCTACTTCAACTACAAAAAGAAGTTTAACCTGGAGTCCATTATACAGGAGCACAAAGAGAGGGTGAGTCTGTGTATCATCATTATAGGGTCAGACATAACATACTAGGGTTCGTAGGGAGGGATAGGGGTCATATGTAGTGAGGTGGGATACATTTTGTGTTGTCATTAAGGCTGTATGGTTTGGTAAGTTAGCTGAATCTGGTTTGAGGGGAGTGTTGAGTGTGGGGTGTAGAGTGTCGCTGCTAATGACCCAGGGCTGATTGGTTATCTGGAATGGGTGGTGGAAGTTGTCATCTCAATGTTTTCAGCTATTACAGGTGGTGGGATGTTCCTTGGGGTGTTGGAGGTAAGCTGATGTATTTTACAATTAGGAGTTTCAAGTTAACCAAGGTGTGACAGTTAAGGGTCATGAATGTGTCATGGATGATTGGGATGCCATATGGGACCATTTAGGAGTTATAAGGGGTCAGATGGTTCCTTAATGGTTTAAGATTAAAATCCTTATATAACCTGTCTAATTCAACCTCTGAGTATTCCATCATCCTCTTTAATACAATATCATATTGCTATTCCATTTTCTGAGAAAACTACCAAGCAAGACGTACTATTATGACAGTTGTGTAGAATTATTATCTGAAAAAAAATTGCGATACACGAGAAATGTTTAGCAGGTTAAATATTCCCCTTTCATCAGTAAAGTTTGTAGCTGCTCTGCTAAATGGTATTTACTATGTATGCTAATTTGTTATTATTAGGAGACAAGATAAACATACCATTGTTATGGTGGGCCAAAAGGGCCAAACTTAGACTACAGTGAAGATGACCTTGTATACTGACGTATAATAGACCAAAGGGTATAAAGTCAGACTACAGTGAAGATGACCTTGTATACTGAAGTATAATAGACCAAAGGGTATAAAGTCAGACTACAGTGAAGATGACCTTGTATACTGACGTATAATAGACCAAAGGGTATAAAGTCAGACTACAGTGAAGATGACCTTGTATACTGAAGTATAATAGACCAAAGGGTATAAAGTCAGGACAGTTTGGTGGTATTAAGGGGCTAGGGGTAATGACTCATCAGATTTACACCATTCACTGTCTGGGTATCAGAATATATTATGTATTACTATAAACTGTATATCAAAGGCTATTAGGGGTGAGGTATGGACTATTAAGAATATATCTTGATCAAGCTAGCAGTAAGTGATATGAGGGTGATTGTATCCATGTTTATTGCTTGGTGTATAACAGATTATTTGTGGAAACTCCACTCCTCTGTGTTCGTGGTGGTGCAGGGGGAAGTAAGAAAAGGAACTTAGATACCATGTCTGTCCTAAACAATCAGCTATAATGAGAGACTTGGCATGCCACGCGAAGACCAGTTGTCAGTACATTTACGAAATGATTTTATTCAAAAAATGAAAAATCATGTATACAGTATAAAATAGTTCTTTTTTGAAAGGATTGAGGAAAGCATCTATGAAATTTTGTGGTCTTTATCATAACTGACAATTTTTGTCAAGTTCAAATTGAACAACTAAACTTTATTCCAGCATTAGATGTAGGAATTTTTTCACCCCATGTGTGTGTGTGTGTGTTATTTACAGCACTTTTTGCATTTTTTTTTTGTCAATGGTACTACATGTACTGGAGGAGACTATTGATTTGTCAATGGCACTACATGTACTTTAGGAGACTATTGATTTGTCAATGGCACTACATGTACTGGAGGAGACTATTGATTTGTCAATGGCACTACATGTACTGGAGGAGACTATTGATTTGTCAATGGTACTACATGTACTGGAGGGGACTATTGATTTGTCAATGGTACTACATGTACTGGAGGGGACTATTGATTTGTCAATGGTACTACATGTACTGGAGGGGACTATTGATTTGTCAATGGTACTACATGTACTGGAGGGGACTATTGATTTGTCAATGGTACTACATGTACTGGAGGGGACTATTGATTTGTCAATGGTACTACATGTACTGGAGGGGACTATTGATTTGTCAATGGTACTACATGTACTGGAGGGGACTATTGATTTGTCAATGGTACTACATGTACTGGAGGGGACTATTGATTTGTCAATGGTACTACATGTACTGGAGGGGACTATTGATTTGTCAATGGTACTACATGTACTGGAGGGGACTATTGATTTGTCAATGGTACTACATGTACTGGAGGGGACTATTGATTTGTCAATGGTACTACATGTACTGGAGGGGACTATTGATTTGTCAATGGTACTACATGTACTGGAGGGGACTATTGATTTGTCAATGGTACTACATGTACTGGAGGGGACTATTGATTTGTCAATGGTACTACATGTACTGGAGGGGACTATTGATTTGTCAATGGTACTACATGTACTGGAGGGGACTATTGATTTGTCAATGGTACTACATGTACTGGAGGGGACTATTGATTTGTCAATGGTACTACATGTACTGGAGGGGACTATTGATTTGTCAATGGTACTACATGTACTGGAGGGGACTATTGATTTGTCAATGGTACTACATGTACTGGAGGGGACTATTGATTTGTCAATGGTACTACATGTCAATGTCACTACATGTACTGGAGGAGACTATTGATTTGTCAATGGTACTACATGTACTGGAGGGCACTATTGATTTGCTCTTCATCTGCTGACTTCGCATCACTTTATCCAGGGCAAATCTAATATACACTCTAACCTACAAATGCCAATTTTTGTTTGCGAGTACCCATCGGGATAGCAGAGTAACGAGTACTGAAAAAGGGTCGTGTGCCCAACTATGTGCAGAGTTATGCCCCTCTGTTTATGTAACTTTGTTTAATTCATGATATCTTCTGCAAGGCCACCTACAGTTACCAAATGTTGTATGTATGTACCTTTTGGGATTGCAGATTGTTCTATACAAAAGTCCCTTCTTCTACGCTATATGCAGAGTTATGGCCCTTTCTTTGCTGTATGTAAATTTAAATGGGGGCATTTTCATACTTTCCGTTATCTACAATGGACATATTTTTGTTGTCATTACCCCCTTAGTATGGTAGAGTGGCCCACTTCAAACTTAGGTCTTGTGTCCTTAGTTTATTTATTTTATTCCATACCATTTGTGTGGAGGTGGGAACTATGGATTGCATGCGATACTGTAACTTGTTTTATATTATTTAGGGGTTCTCATGGTTTCTTATTTGTATTGTAAGTGTCTTGCGATGTTTGTTAGTACTACACAAGCTCCCTTGTATAATATATTATAATCTGTAACGCTCTTCATCCTTCACTGGATACTGATAAAGTCATTAGTCATTTTACATTTCTCATCAGTTCATGCTAAAAAAACATTGTTTGTTTGCCCTTATTTAACTCTACCTTTATTTTTTTGGATTGTTAGATGAACCCTGTTATTTTACTGTCCTCTCATCTATTAAAAACTTAATTTCAAATCTATAAGAATGAAAACTTCAGTAATGTCATGTTAAAATAAGAGGTTCCTCAAAAAGTTACAAAATTCAAGAGTTCTACCACTCAGGTAGCGCTTTTAAGGGCAAAACAACTTTTTTATTTTTTTTCCTGTTGTCATGACTTTTTCAAATTTCTATTTCATTCATCATTGTTTCATTGATCATCTCCATTTTCTCTCCCTGTTTTGCCCCCCAAATAGCAAGAAGATGCTAAACTAAAGGTAAGGTGCTATTATATCAGTGTAGTATTGTATTATTGTGATCTTAGTGCAGTTAGTACTGATTGTAGTACATTTAGTGCATTAATGTGACTAATAACATATTCTGTACCTAGTGTAATTTAGATTTGTTAGAAGCGTAACAAGTAGAACAATAACAGTTATCTTTAAAACCGTTAGAACCGTACCAATTATATTGCTAAATGTTGGTACTATACCAATTGCCTTTAGAACAATGAAAACTGTAATAGTTAAATAGTAATCTAAATCATGATGTCCGTCTGTCTTTCTGTCTGTCTGTCCACACTTTCTGAAATTTGGTTTGGTAATGCACTGTGATATGTAGATGTGCAATAGGAGTTCAACCCTTTCACCCCTAGGTACCTTTAGAAGACTCTACCATGCATTTATTTGGATGAGTCCATCATGGTCTTCGATAGTGAAAGGGTTAAAATATTTCTGAGGTCAAGGTCACTGTTACTAAAGATAGACTATGGGAGGGTACAGCCCATATCTCAAAATCCAAAAGACTTCACCTTTTTTAAATTTGACATGTTGATACAATATGATGTAGATGTGCAATAAGGGTTTGAAAAGATTCTAAGGTCAAGGTCACTTACTAAAAAGACAATGGAGTAGAGTCCTTGTGGGAAACAAGAAACATCAATCATCTTGATATTTGACATGGTGAAACACTGATATGTATATGTGCAATAGGGGTTTGAAAAGGTCAAGGTAACTGTTACTAAAAATAGATTATGGTCAGGCACATGGGGAGTGTCCTTTCTGACCTGTCAGGGTTCTGGTTACCTTTGGAACTATAACACTTACCTATAGAATTGTTAAAACATAAGTAATTGTTTTGGAATCATAGCAATAACATTTAGAGACAACAGTTCACACAGGAACTTTAGAAGTGTAAAACTTATCTTTTGAATGGTAGTAAGACGTTTTTGTTCACCCAATGTATTCAGAATATCAACAGAAGACTTGGTCAGAAACAAGGTAACAGTCATGATAGGGAGGTCGAACAAGTCAGAAACAAGGTAACAGTCATGATAGGGAGGTCGAACAAGTCAGAAACAAGACAACAGTCATGATAGGGAGGTCGAACAAGTCAGAAACAAGGTAACTGTCATGATAGGGAGGTCGAACAAGTCAGAAACAAGATAACAGTCATGATAGGGAGGTCGAACAAGTCAGAAACAAGATAACAGTCATGATAGGGAGGTCGAACAAGTCAGAAACAAGATAACAGTCATGATAGGGAGGTCGAACAAGTCAGAAACAAGATAACAGTCATGATAGGGAGGTCGAACAAGTCAGAAACAAGATAACAGTCATGATAGGGAGGTCGAACAAGTCAGAAACAAGATAACAGTCATGATAGGGAGGTCGAACAAGTCAGAAACAAGATAACAGTCATGATAGGGAGGTCGAACAAGTCAGAAACAAGATAACAGTCATGATAGGGAGGTCGAACAAGTCAGAAACAAGATAACAGTCATGATAGGGAGGTCGAACAAGTCAGAAACAAGATAACAGTCATGATAGGGAGGTCGAACAAGTCAGAAACAAGATAACAGTCATGATAGGGAGGTCGAACAAGTCAGAAACAAGATAACAGTCATGATAGGGAGGTCGAACAAGTCAGAAACAAGATAACAGTCATGATAGGGAGGTCGAACAAGTCAGAAACAAGATAACAGTCATGATAGGGAGGTCGAACAAGTCAGAAACAAGATAACAGTCATGATAGGGAGGTCGAACAAGTCAGAAACAAGATAACAGTCATGATAGGGAGGTCGAACAAGTCAGAAACAAGATAACAGTCATGATAGGGAGGTCGAACAAGTCAGAAACAAGATAACAGTCATGATAGGGAGGTCGAACAAGTCAGAAACAAGATAACAGTCATGATAGGGAGGTCGAACAAGTCAGAAACAAGATAACAGTCATGATAGGGAGGTCGAACAAGTCAGAAACAAGATAACAGTCATGATAGGGAGGTCGAACAAGTCAGAAACAAGATAACAGTCATGATAGGGAGGTCAAACAAGTCAGAAACAAGATAACAGTCATGATAGGGAGGTCGAACAAGTCAGAAACAAGATAACAGTCATGATAGGGAGGTCGAACAAGTCAGAAACAAGATAACAGTCATGATAGGGAGGTCGAACAAGTCAGAAACAAGATAACAGTCATGATAGGGAGGTCGAACAAGTCAGAAACAAGATAACAGTCATGATAGGGAGGTCGAACAAGTCAGAAACAAGATAACAGTCATGATAGGGAGGTCGAACAAGTCAGAAACAAGATAACAGTCATGATAGGGAGGTCGAACAAGTCAGAAACAAGATAACAGTCATGATAGGGAGGTCGAACAAGTCAGAAACAAGATAACAGTCATGATAGGGAGGTCGAACAAGTCAGAAACAAGATAACAGTCATGATAGGGAGGTCGAACAAGTCAGAAACAAGATAACAGTCATGATAGGGAGGTCGAACAAGTCAGAAACAAGATAACAGTCATGATAGGGAGGTCGAACAAGTCAGAAACAAGATAACAGTCATGATAGGGAGGTCGAACAAGTCAGAAACAAGATAACAGTCATGATAGGGAGGTCGAACAAGTCAGAAACAAGATAACAGTCATGATAGGGAGGTCGAACAAGTCAGAAACAAGATAACAGTCATGATAGGGAGGTCGAACAAGTCAGAAACAAGATAACAGTCATGATAGGGAGGTCGAACAAGTCAGAAACAAGATAACAGTCATGATAGGGAGGTCGAACAAGTCAGAAACAAGATAACAGTCATGATAGGGAGGTCGAACAAGTCAGAAACAAGATAACAGTCATGATAGGGAGGTCGAACAAGTCAGAAACAAGATAACAGTCATGATAGGGAGGTCGAACAAGTCAGAAACAAGATAACAGTCATGATAGGGAGGTCGAACAAGTCAGAAACAAGATAACAGTCATGATAGGGAGGTCGAACAAGTCAGAAACAAGATAACAGTCATGATAGGGAGGTCGAACAAGTCAGAAACAAGATAACAGTCATGATAGGGAGGTCGAACAAGTCAGAAACAAGATAACAGTCATGATAGGGAGGTCGAACAAGTCAGAAACAAGATAACAGTCATGATAGGGAGGTCGAACAAGTCAGAAACAAGATAACAGTCATGATAGGGAGGTCGAACAAGTCAGAAACAAGACAACAGTCATGATAGGGAGGTCGAACAAGTCAGAAACAAGACAACAGTCATGATAGGGAGGTCGAACAAGTTAGGAACAAGATAACAGTCATGATAGGGAGGTCGAACAAGACAGATACAAGGTAACAGTCATGATAGGGAGGTAGAACAAGTCAGAAACAAGGTAACTGTCATGATAGGGAGGTAGAACAAAGATTAACTGTGTATTAGGTAACCATTGTTCATGGGTCTATTAACTGTACACATCTTGGCAAGGTAAAACCTGAGAACGCTTTGATTGACAGTAGACTGGAATGAAACTGTTGGTTATCTTACACCCATTAAGATGGAATGAAACTGTTGGTTATCTTACACCCATTAAGATGGAATGAAACTGTTGGTTATCTTACACCCATTAAGATGGAATGAAACTGTTGGTTATCTTACACCCATTAAGATGGAATGAAACTGTTGGTTATCTTACACCCGTTAAGATGGAATTTTAGAGCATATCACAATGTGGTGTTGTTGCTTCATAACATTCTGTTTGATATGCTATGTATTCATTGTTAGAGCATACCTACATGAACTTGTCAGTGAGCATACCTACATGAACTTGTCAGTGATGTTTAAACATATTGCAAAGTTTCCTTTAGGACATGCTTTCTCTGTTGAAAGCTTTATCAATGCTTACACTGGTAAACAAAACTAATTTCCTGATATTTCGGAACCAATTTCTCACTGTTGGTTTTGATTGGATGTCATTTACCTTAAGGCTGTATCCTATCTTGTTACGAAATGCACCTCCTGCCTAAAAGAGTTCTACACTTTTATTCAAAAAGTGGTAATGAACTATTTTTAACACACATTTTAAATATTTACACAGAAATACATGCATTGATGATACTGAAGTAACTCATACAAAACGTATAACTTTAAAGGTAGCCAACAGCCATAAGAATTGATTTGAATGACTCATCTTTCACAAAACTGATGAGGAACATCAATTAGAAATGAGATTATCCAATTTATAACAGGCACAGGTTAAGGTTATTCCCATAACTATTGCTTTTGTAAATTAAAAGAATCACAAATTAGTCTTTGGAGCACAACTGCACAAATAAATATTAACAAAAATTAAAGAGATTCTCGGAGATCTAATATTGTCTAGCTGCATAAACTACAGAGCCACATTCTGGCCCTAATTTCTCGGGTAAGAAAATCCTCAAACCATTCCAAAGTTTGTCTGAATTTAGGGTTAACCTTTGGACTTCCTTTAATATATGACTATAAAAAATATATTCTTTTAATTACTTTTTTTGCTTTATGAAAAAAATATAAAATATAAATGATAATTGAGATAGTCTTTAAAATTTTACTACTAAATAATTTGGAAATAAAAAGATTGGAAGTGAACTCAAAATAAGAAATTTAAGAAGATTAAAATGTCAGTTTGAGAAAAGTAACTTTGACCTTGTTTTAATTTTTCAAGGAATCTTGGCCTGGACATCATTGCTTAGAATTTAGATTTCTCTCATATACATCACATACAAGATAGATTTATTATTTATTTTTAGCACAGTCTTCTGCTGTTGTCTTCCTTTTAAAGTCAGACATTATTAGCTCACCTGGTCCGAAGGACATGGCGCAGCGTCCGTCGTCCGTCGTCAACTTTTTCTTTTAAACCTATCTCCTCCTAAACGCCAAATAGGGTTTCAACCAAATTTAGTCTGAAGCATCACTAGGGAAGGGCAATCATTTTTAGCTTACCTGGCACGAAGTGCCAAGTGAGCTTATGCCGTGGCGCGGTGTCCGTCGTCCGTCCGTCGTCCGTCCGTCCGTCCTCGTCCGTCAACTTTTCCTTTAAACAACTTCTTCTGAAGAACGGACAGGCCTAGAGTCATGATATTTGGCTGAAAGCTTCGTTGGTAGGAGCCCTACAAAGTTTGAGAACGAAAATGACCTTGACCTGTTTTCAAGGTCACAGGGGTCAAATATGTCAAA